CTCTAATTGTACCTGGCTAGGGCTGAGTTATTTAGCAAAGGTCCTATCAGACCAGAAAAATCAGAGCCTCTCTTTCCTTTGCACTCCTTTTCACCTTTCTTCCCCTCACTTCTAAGGATAGGTGATTTACTATTGCCAAAAAGTTTTCCAGAACTAAATGGAAAATGAAATATGAAGTAGACCTGGAAAATTATTTCAAAATAGCTTTAGAGAGAACTTAGGAAGGTGAGAGAAATCTGTGGGTTTGAACCAAGTTTTTATACATTAATGACTATAGTTCATTCAGCAGTGAAATTTTTTAATAATCGTGTTTTTGCTATAGCTATGTCATGTTTTTAGACTATCCACTATTACGCAAGATTGGATTGCCTAAGCTGTAGGGCTAGGGCAGTTTATTTCATCCTTTTTCAAGGCCATTGCTGCCTGCACACTCTTAATATTTGCAGTGCTTCTGTTCCAAACACATATATACCTTGGCAACAATTTAAAAAAAGGCATGAATATAAATGCAAAGAAGGATGTGCACATACAAAAACAACTTAATTTAGTGTGAGGATTATCTGGGGCTTATCTAAGAGTGACAGCAGGATTTGTTCTGTGGTCCAGCTGATTAGGCAGACACCAGGTACTGCAAGAAGCATTTTTTCCTGCTTCCATATAGAGGACTAATGTTAAGGCATACAATTAGCTGTCAGGACTATTAATTGCCCAGATTTCTCAAGCTAAAGGGGAAAAGGTCAACTCAGCAAAAAGCATCTGTCAAAGGATGGTGTGTTTTTATTTCCAGCAAGGAATAGGCCCACGGCAGACTCCAACAAGGTAAGCAGAAAATTCTGAATGGAGAAAAATAGAGAAAACCATGATAACTGGTGGTGAACACAAGGGAACATAGGTGTCTGGTGCTGCTTGGTCAGCCGGTGACCATCCTGAAGGAAAACTGGACAGTGCTGCCATTCACAGCTCCTTGCTGCTCTTCTGTGTTGTTCTGAAAGTGGTGGTGAAGCAGTGGAGAGTGACAGCCTTTTCCAAAGCTCGGCTGGCAGACCTTCCTACCCTTGTGGGGGTCACCCCTCCCCTTCATGCTTCATGCCAGTCTACCCCATGAGGTCTCTCCATGGAGAAAATCCCTCCTCCAGTCTTTTTGTAGCCTGAACACCACCCTGGACTTTGCTCACCCTCAAGGCAAGGGGGAAAAGGTCCCTATGAGCTCTTACTGCCCGTGGCCTGGGCTTCCTTTTCCTCCCAGGAGAAGCAGAGGAGAGCAGATGTCTCCATAGATGATCCCAACCTGTCTGATGGTGCTGCAACTCCCAAGTGCCAGACTGCTGGCCCAGAGGTCTCAGTGTCTGAGGCATCTCTAGGTGCACCTGTAAGGCCCTGTATTTTACTGCAGTAATAATGTACTGACACCAGCCCTCCAAGTTCCCAAACAACTTTGATGTTGTTTCTCAGAGCCACAAAACAAGGCTGTTGGATATTTTTTTTTACATAGTCCAGTCATTAGCTTCCACTATCAGTGCTCTGGATCCAGCAAGACAGCTGCCTTGGATTAGAATGCCAAATTCCTGTGCCCCTGGCTTTCCACACAGGTCCCATTTTCCCTCCATCTCCCCCATCCCTGTGAGCAGAACCACACACCTTGTGGGGACAGAGGCTATATATAATTAGATGATAGCCACAAAGGAAGCCAGTTTCCCAAACCACAGAATGCTTTGGTCATTTATGAAGAATTTTCCAAGGAAAAACCAGCCATCACTAAAACAGCTGCTTCTCCCCAGTGTTTTCAACCAGCTCTCCCTCACTCTGGGGCTGTAATGGGGCTGCAGCTCCATTCAAGATAAGACCCAGGCAATTTATTGTTCCTAGTCATGTTTCTGCACTTTACCACTGCCACAAAGCCACAGCGGAAAGGATGATCTGTACATACCAAGTAGGAAGAGGAGGAGTTAGAGCTGATTTAGCACCTCGGTGGCAAAATGCCTTGCGAGACAGGGACTGTAAATCACACATCCCATTAGCAGGCTTAGGGGAGAGAGATGAAGAGGGCTTACTTGCCCACATTGGATTGCAGTCCTGTATGTCAAAAGGACCTTTTCAGATAAGGAATGCTGAAGATCAAGTTCCGGAATGCTGAAGTTCAAGTTCCAGAATGCTGGGACTTGCATAGCCCAGGTCCCCCAGCACCCTGAAACCCCTACGGCAACTCTTGTTCAGAAAGAAAAAGTGATGGAATTTCCATAAGTGGTTTGAAGAAAAAAGAAACAACAATACTGCATAGGAATGTAAAACATCACCACCGAGAAACAACTCTGGTTTGGCCAAATTGACAAACTGAAGAGCTGATGGAACATGTGCTGACTCTGCCTCTAGTGGGCCTCCAGACAAGATCACTCTAGAGAAAAATGACCTAAAAGAGTGTGGTCCTTCTCCAGCAGGCTACACCATTTTATTTGTGTTGTTAAGATAGTCTCTGATTCTGTAGGTACATTTTTCTTAAATATCAAGGGCCACTCTCTTAAGGCTCCACCTTATGGTGCATGAATATATCTTAAAGCAGATGCAAATGTTTCTATAAATACTAGTAATTTAAGAACTAGTAATATAAGAACAGGAGCCTCTGAAAAATTACTAGATAATAGTAATTTTGAATATTTTGTAGCATCAAATTTATATGGGATTTGTGAAAATTGTTGTGCAGTAGTAAATATTTTGGAGCCTGAGCTAAACTCTTACTTTAGCACTTACTGTTTTGCAATTACTGACATGGAAATATACCCTTCCATGAGAACTAGTTCTAAAAGGTACATTTAATGTCAGTCAATACACAGAATATCCTGGAGATATAGACATAATTAATGAGATCACTAGTCATATTTAGCACAGTTCATTAACTATCTAGGCCTGAACAGAGCTGGCTGAACAAGCCAAGCAGTCTGTATATGCAACAAAGAGTGGAGGAAAAATATCCGTCATGTAGGAGTTGTGCAGATCTGTAGTGTCTTGAGCACAATGACTGTAACATACCTCTACACTCCAATTTGACTCCTTTGCACCAGACCCCATGTCCCAAACTGAAGCTTGAATGGGGCAAGTAATTTATCTCTCCCTGTAATTCTGGTGGGAGACATGAGGCTTCCCGGATGAAGTAAGATGTGGCAATTCCTTTGCTTGCTTTTGTTGCTTAAACTGTCACAGGTCACAGGCTGATGCTTTGGGGTTTTCAGTAAGGCTGTCTGGAATTTCTGTTCTCTGGAAATATTTTGGGGTTTGCTGAACAAAAACTGTCCCACGTCTCAATAAAAGCTGAAGAAACTAAACACCTTTTGCAGCTAATCTGGGGAAAAGAAAAAATGCACTGTTAGAACAACACATAAAATTTAGAGCTGGCTAAGAGTCTTCTGGTCTAACAAAAATCTCTCTCATGAAGGTGGAATTTTCTACAGCAAATCATTCTAGTGGACAGTTCCCCACTCCTTTCCCTGTTAAAATCATGTATCTTTCTGTATTCAAAATATAAGCCAAAAATTATTGCACAACCAAACAGAGTGAGAAAAATAAACCCTTGAGCTGTGGCATTGAGTAAATGTCACCTGAGTCAACAAAGAGTCCAACAGATGGAGGGTTTAACGTTGTTTTTTCAAATTCATCAGTAATTTATTTTTAATGTAATGACCATAAATCTTCCTAGGACAGATTGTTATTCAGCCTGTTGTGATTCATTAAACCAGTACAGAATGAGATCATTATCATTTAAGTTAGCATTTTTGAAACTACCAAATATCCTGCAAGTACTTCCTGCAGCTGGGACTGCAAGCACTGTCCTTGGAGCTGGCAGTCTGCTTGCACCAAATCCTGGTCCAAGAGCTTCTTGTGCCTCTGGCTAGCAGCACTGCTGTGCCCACGGGGCCCTTGGAGTGGGTCGCTCTACCTGCCCCTCAGGCAGCAGCAAAATTGGAAACTGACTTCAAGCTGCAAGGTTTGAGAGTCTGTGGAAATAAGCACCTGCAGAGATACACAGCCATCTCCCTGAGGAGCTAGGGCTGGAAAACTCTTCTCCAGAGGTGGACTCTCACCCACCTCAGCCTGCAGGTGAGCTGGCTGATTACTGGGACACAGTGGTCATGGATGCCTCTCAGTAAATTTCCTCCTCTTGCAAATTCCCACATTGTAAAGCCAAAGGATGAAGCAAAGCACAGTGGCAGCCACAGGAGACAGGTTACCAGAAACAGACCTTTTCTCTTTTAATTTCTTTTTCGTGTAATTTCCTGAGTGCATTATTGAAACAATGACATAAGGGGCATGATGCAGCAACAGGGAAGACAGAATCCGGTAAAAGAGAAAGAGACAATGAGATATTTGTGTAGAAAAAAGAAAAATTCACTGGCAGTAAAGGGGAATTCACAAATTACCTGATAAAAGGCACATAGCCATTCCCTGCCCCCTCTGCCCCCACAACCACTCTGAGAGTTCTCTGACACATGAAGGATACAAAAAAA